AAAGATAGAAGGTATTGAGGCCAGAAGAGAGAAGAGAGGAGTAGGACATTTGTGCTAAGTATGACCAGGAAAAACAGTAAATATTTGAGTCTTGATTTTTTTTTTAACTTCTAAAATATTTTTGTCTAGTGAGTACTGGTTTTTAATGGTTTTATTTTAATAAATGAGTATGACACATTATATATTTTATTTGACAGAAAATAAGTTGGCTCAGGAACATCTTCAGACTTAGTGAAAAGAAAACTTTCTTAATTGCAGCCTAATAATTGTTTACTTTGGAGTCACTTTTAAAGTACATTTGAAGGCTATAAACTTATTTTCTGATGATATTTTGTTAAAGAGAATTAAAATGTCTTATGTGAAACAAAATGTTCACTTCTGTATAAAATGTGTTTTTTTAAAAACATCTTTATTGGAGTATAATTGCTTTACAATGTTGTGTTAGTTTCTGCTGTATAACAAAGTGAATCAGCTATATGTATAATATATCCCCATATCCCCTCCCTCTTGCATCTCCCTCCCACCCTCCCTATCCCTTAGGTTGTCACAAAGCACCAAGCTGATCTCCCTGTGCGATTCAGCTGCTTCCCACTAGCTAGCTATTTTACACTTGGTAGTGTATGTATGTCAGTGCTACTCTCTCAGTTTGTTCCAGCTTACCCTTCCCCCTCCCCGTGTCTTCAAGTCCATTCTTTGTGTCTGCGTTTTTATTCCTGCCCTTAAATTCATCAGAACCACTTTTTCTTTTTTTTTTTTAGATTCCTCATATATGTGTTAGCATACGGTATTTGTTTTTCTCTTTCTGACTTACTTCACTCTGTATGACAGACTCTGGGTCCATCCACCTCACTACAAATAACTCAATTTCGTTTCTTTTTAAGGCTGAGTAGTATTCCATTGTATATATGTGCCACATCTTTATCCATTCATCTGTCAATGGACACTTAGGTTGCTTCCATGTCCTGGCTATTGTAAACAGAGCTGCAGTGAACATTGTGGTACATGACTCTTTTTGAATTATGGTTTTCTCAGGATGGGATTGCTGGGTCATATGGTAATTCTATTTTTAGTTTTTTAAGGAACCTCCATATTGTTCTCCATAGTGGCTGTATCAATTTACATTCCCACCACACTGCAAGAGGGTTCCCTTTTCTCCACACCCTCTCCAGCATTTATTGTTTGTAGATTTTTTGTTGATGGACATTCTGACCTATGTGAGGTGATACCTCATTGTAGTTTTGATTTGCATTTCTCTAATGATTAGTGATGTTGAACATCCTTTCATGTGTTTATTGCCAATCTATATATCTTCTTTGGAGAAATGTCTATTTAGATCTGCCCATTTTTGGATTGGATTGTTTGTTTTTTTGATATTGAGCTGCATGAGCTACTTGTATATTTTGGAGATTAATCCTTTGTTAGTTGCTTCATTTGCAAATATTTTCTCCCATGTTCTATGCTTCTAAATTCCTTTATTTTCCTTACAGGGTTTCAAACAAAGTCAAAAAGAAAGAAGGTGCTCACATTTCAATTAAGGAGTAAGTCTATCATCATTATAAAAGAGAATATTACTTTTTTATAAATTTTGTAGTTTGTAGAAAATATATGTTTAAAAACTGAAATATTGAAAAGTAGAAAAGTTAATGTAAAACAATATTAAAGACATTTTGATGCAAAAACTATTTGATAAAAGATTGATTTAAATCCCCTCTAGAATTCTTATGATGTCAAAGTATCATCTCAGCAAATACTTGTTGGTTGGTTGTATTGAAAGGAAAACATACCTTTATAATAGAGATCCTTAGAATCAGAGATGAAATTTTGCATCACTGTAATCAGACAGACTTGCTTTTTCATTTGAGATGCAGTATGAAATACACTGTATTACCTATGACGTGTTATGGTCAAAAAAGTTTAACTGGAATTTAAACAAACCTTTAGGATCTACTTTCCCATTTATCAGAAATACTGGGGATAGAGCAACAAGTTAAATGACACCACAAAAGAAATGATCAGACAGGTCCAGAACGTGGAATGTTCTGGAAGATAACTGGCCTTCTTTCTTCAAAAAGTCAGTGTCATGAAAGAAAAAATGACATGGAGTAGGTAACTATTCCAGATTAAAAGTGACTTGAGATATAACAGCCAAATACAGTGTGGCATCCTTCATTATTCATTAGACCCTGGTTTTGAAAAGCTATTTATAAGAGACTTGGGGGTTGAGGAAATTTGAATATAGACTGGATTTTAAATGATATTAGATAACTATTGCTAATTTTATGAGCTGTGATAAGGGTGTTGTAGTTTCTGGAAGAATGTCTTTAAATTTGCATGCTGAAGTATTTAGAAGTGAAGTGTTACAGTGTTTGTAATACATTTCTAAATGATTTACCAAAATGTATATATGTGTGTGCATGAAGCATATATGGCTGTTATTGAATCTAAGTGGTGTTCATATGGATGTTCATTGTACTGTTTTTTTCTATTTTCTGTGTGTTTGAAAAGTACATAAGAAAAGTGTTCAGTATTTTTAACTAAATTAGTAAAATCTATGTGTCTATTGTATTCCCTTTTTACATATTATTTTACACTTTTGGTCCATATTCATCCATATTTTGATGTTTATCATCAGTATTTTGTGCATGTGTGTGTGTGTATATATCCCCACTTAATATCACATTTTTAATGTTTTTACCTATTCTTTCTATCAGCTTGTTTGCCTGTATGTTCTGCCGCTGTTCCTTTAGTTCAGTAGCTTTTGGCATTCTCAATAACATTAGTAAATACCTTCTTATATGTAGTACTCGATTCTATTCTGTCATAGCGTTAGGGTAACTTTCTGTGCTGTGACTATTTAATAAAAGGTTGTGGACATTATGATTCTTAGTAGATGTTTCCATGTTGCTTTGAAAAGCAAATTTCGAAAAACATCTTTTCAAAATCTATGCATTCCTGGGAGGGATATTTTTTAAATTATATAAATCCTCACATTTAAAAGTATAGTTACCTGTATTTCATTTTTCGATTAAAGTCAGTTTTATTCAATTGAAGTTCTTCAGCTAGGTTATTCAGCTAAGTCTAAAGAGATGAATAGAAAAACTAGGCAGGGGATGAATTGGGCTGAAGTATTCCAGGCAGAGAATGCACAAGCTAGAAGCATTAGGGCAGTGTGTTTCAAGGCCTAAGACTAGCCCAAATGTCATACCACTGTCATCCGTTCTCCATCCATAAGTAAGTTCCCCTCTTTGAATCTGTTCTCTGCTTATTTCTATTACATAGCTTTTCACAGTATAATATCTTTATTGTTTATATATCTGTCTTTCCTCTGTCGTTAGAGGCAAGGCACTACATCTCATTCTTCATCATGTCTACAGTATCTGGCATGGTTTTTTGAAGTCTAGAATGGGCTTAGAGCACAGATTGGAGGGAATGTCAAAGAAGAGAGAAAATGAAGTCAAAACAGCTTGCTTTCACTGTAGTAATTGTCCTTGTGGTTATGAAGAATCCTAGATGGAAAATGCCATGGTCTGTACCTATATTCAGAAGATAGGCAAATAGAAGGTGAGATGCCATATTTGAAGAGTACCTTCATTAAGGGATCAGCCAGAGATTACTTTATCTGAGTCATGTTGTAAGTTTAGCTTTTCTGTATGGTTGCCATTAACAGAAATAAACTACAGGGTTAATGGTTATGAACTTAAGTTATGTGTTGTTTGAAGCTCTTGGTGAATGGAAAACAATGAATTCAATTCAGAAATGAAATTCTGAAAGTTTAACCAGAGCAACTCCTGCTTCTGCAGAAATCCATGTTTATATACAGCAATCAGTAGAATACATTCAGTATTCAGGTATTTCACAAAATACTTGGTGTTTTATCATTTTTGTGTATGAATTGTGGCCTTGCAAGAGGATTCAAGAACATTTTTACATCGCTCTCATTTTTTTTTCCAAATACTTTTTTTGAGGTTAATTTATATACAGTAAAATGCACAGATTGGGACTTCCCTGCCAATGCAGGGGACATGGGTTCAAGCCCTGGTTGGGGAAGATCCCACATGCTGCAGAGCACCTAAGCCCGTGCGCCACAACTACTGAGCCTGCGCTCTGGAGCCCGCGTGCCAGAACTACTGAAGCCCGCGCTCCTAGAGCCCGTGCTCCACAACAAGAGAAGACACCGCGATGAGAAGCCCACGCACTGCAACGAAGAGTATCCCCCACTCACCTCAACTAGAGAAAAGCCTGCACGCAGCAATGAAGACCCAACGCAGCCAAAAATTAAATAAATAAACAAACTTTTTAAAAAAATGCACAGATTTAGAGTGAAGAGTTTGATCAGTTTTGAGAAGGTATACCATTGTTACTACATCAAGATAAAAGAACATTTCCCTCAGTCCAGAAGTTCCTTTGTACCCCTTTCTAGTCATTCACCACACTTACCTATCCTGGCAATCACCATTCTGACCTCTGTGAACAAAGATTAGTTTTACTTAGTTTAGAACTGTAATCATACAGTATGTTCTCTTTTGCACAGGATTGTTTTAAATTATTATTACTTGTGGGCTCAGCTATTGTCCTGAGATTATATATGTAACATATTTTGAAGACACCAAGTAATATAGTTGGAGAAGCTTTTGGAGAAACTAATTTCTTTTCTTTCTTTTCTTTTTTTATTTTTTTAATGGAAGTATCGTTGGATTTACAGTGTTTTAGGTGTATAGCAAAGAGATTTCAGTTATACATATACATATACATATACATGTATGTATACCCATTCTTTTTCAGATTCTTTTCCATTATATGTTATTATAAGATATCGAATATAGTTCCCAGTGCTATACAGTAGGTCCTTGTTGTTTATCTATTTTATCTGTTTTATATGTAATAGTGTGTATCTGTTAATCCCAAATTCCAAACTTATCCCTGTTTCCCGTTTCATTTTTGGTAACCATGTTTGTTTTCTATGTGAGTCTATTTCTATTTTGTAAATAAGTTCATTTGTATCATTTTTTTAGATTCCACATCTAAGTGATATCATATGATGTTTGTCTTTCTCTGTCTGACTTACTTCCTCAGTGTGATAATCTCTAGGTCTACCCATGTTTCTGCAAATGGCATTACTTCATTCCTTTTAATGCTTGAGTAATATTCCATTGTATATGTATATACCACATCTTCTTTATCCATTCATCTTTCAGTAGACATTTAGGTTGCTTCCATGTCATGGCTATTGTAAATAGTGCTGCTGTGAACATTGGGGAGCATGTATCTTTTCAAATTAGAGTTTTCTCTAGATATATGCCCAGGAGTGGGATTACTGGATCATATGGTAGCTCTATTTTTAGTTTTTTAAGAAACCTCCATACTGTAGGAGAAAGTAATTTTCTGAGCTTCGAGCTTCGAAGTTCTGATCCTTTCATTACTAGTTATTGTGACACATAAATTGACCTTTTATATTTTAAAATGGCATATAATTTAGGGTTGAGCTGCATTCCACTTTAAATAAAACTTGGTTTCTAGGCAGAAGAAGAAAGATGTGAAGCAGTGTACCTGAATATTAATGAGTCTTTGTGTTTAGATAAATACTTCTGGTTAAGAGTAAATAAAATCTTATATATAAAAGATAGCATAGCTACCTTGTTTGATACCAGTCAGTTGTTAGTTAGGGGAGCAGGGATTTGATTTGAAATTTGTTTGCTTACAAACTTCATGTTTTTTCCAGTTAAGCTGCTGATCTGGAAGGTTGTACGTTCTTTGGTAAAATTTGGACTCTGTAGTTTCCCTACTCTTGCCATTACCTGTAGGTAGATTTTTTTTTTTTTTTTTTTTTTCCTTGTGTTTTGCGGGCCTCTCACTGTTGTGGCCTCTCCCATTTGCGGAGCACAGGCTCCGGACGCGCAGGCTCAGTGGCCATGGCTGACGGGCCCAGCCGCTCCGCGGCATGTGGGATCTTCCCGAAACGGGGCACGAACCCGCATCTCCTGCATCGGCCGGCGGACTCTCAAGCACTGCGCCACCAGGGAAGCCCATCCTGTAGGTAGAATTTTGACTTCTAGGATATTGTTCATTTTACTTTTACTGTAAAATTTATAATAAAATTTAAATTAAATTTGTAAAAAAAAATCTTACTTTATAGAACTTGGTTTCAGTAGACTCTTAGCTCTGTGTTAGTTGGGTTTTTATTGTAAAGGAAACTAGAAACTGTCACATCATATTTTTCTTCCCTTGCAAGTAATAATAGCTGTATTTTTTGAATGATTACTATGTGTTGCTAGGCATTGTTATTTCATTGAATCTTTTTTTTTTTAATAAATTTTATTTATGGCTGTGTTGGGTCTTTGTTGCTGCTCACGGACTTTCTCTAGTTGCAGAGAGCAGTGGCCACTCTTCATTGCAGTGCGCGGGCTTCTCATTTCAGTGGCTTCTCTTGTTGCAGAGCACGGGCTCTAGGTGTGCAGGCTTCAGTAGTTGTGGCACGTGGACTCAGTCACCCCGCGGCATGTGGGATCTTCCCGGGTCAGGGATCGAGCCCATGTCCCCTGAATTGACAGGCGGATTCTTAACCACTGCACCACCAGGGAAGTCCCTCATTGAATCTTAATAGCACTCTCAAGTTAGTTACTATTTTTATTCCCAAATGACTTGCTTTG